GCCCCGGGGGGGGGCAGATGGGCCGGGCCCGGTGAGTCACCCAAAAGCCCCGCTCTGCGGTCCGATGGTTCCCCTCGAGGCCCCGGCTCCCAGTGCTCCCCTCCCGCAGGAGAACGCCAAGAACGAGGAGATCCTGAACTCGCTCAAGTATGTCCGGCCCGGCGGTGGGTTCGAGCCCAACTTCACGCTGTTCGAGAAGTGCGAGGTGAACGGCGCGCAGGCGCACCCCCTCTTCGTCTTCCTGCGGGAGGCGCTGCCCGTGCCCAGCGACGACGCCTCGGCGCTCATGACCGACCCCAAGCTCGTCACCTGGTCCCCCGTGTGCCGCAACGACGTGTCCTGGAACTTCGAGAAGTTCCTGGTGGGCCCGGACGGCGTGCCCGTGCGCAGGTACAGCCGCCGTTTCCCCACCATCGACATCGAGCCCGACATCGAAGCCCTGCTGGCCCAGGCCCCCGGCAGTGCCTAGGGCACCCGCTCACCCACCGGCCTCTGGGGGGGTTTATCCATGACGGTGTTGCCTCTAAACCTACGCGGAGGAATGCCTGATGTCCAGCCAAACCCCCCCAGATGGGCCCTGGTCCTGCCCACCCTGCCTCCCCCACATGGCTTTCACAATAAACTGCCCGCTGTCAGCGGACTCTGTTTGTCCTGTGTCAGCAGAGGGGGGTGAGGGGGGTGGGGGGACACCTTTCCTTTCCCCTCTCCGCATTGTCAGGCTGGGAGCTGGAGCCCCCCACCCTCCACTCCTGGCCAAGCCTGGGCTTCCTCTCCTTCCTCTGCAGTGTGTGGGGGCCACTCTCCTATGCGGCCCGGGCTCCTGTCCCAGTGTCTCCCTCTCCCTGCCACGCAATAGGGCCATCCCCAAGGACCTGTTGGAGGAGAAAGTCCTTACTCCGGAAGGGAGGACGGGCCAGGGCCGACTCCTAACCCAGCAGTGGGCCTCTCCCTGAGCGTGTGCTGGGCGGGAAGTGACCTTCACACAACACAGCGCCATCTCAGGCTCCCACTCGCGGAGTCTGGCTTCTCCAAGCGTTAGGCCCACACAAGCCTGTTTTACAGTTGGAAGCTCATGCAACATGACAAGTTCTTTCCCCATTTCCTTTGCTAGACCTTCGCATGTTGCCACCCAGCACATCTGCTCCCGTGCTGTCCTCACTGGTTGCTGCCCAGTGAGAAGCTGATACCACTGGCCCTCTGGCCGTGCCCTGCAGGGCACTTGGCAGTTAGTTGCAGATGCAGGGCCAGGCCTGGGGTAGGAACTTATCTCGGCGGCCAGCTGCTGCTGCTGAGGTGTGGCTCAAGTCCCGCCTCTCCGTCTGGGGGTCCTGCTGTCAGTGATCTTCCCTGCAGACCTGGGACCACCTCCTGTCGCAGTGGGAGGGACTCTCCAGGGCTGGGATGGAGCCTCCGCGGGGGCAGCCAAGGACCCGGATGCTGGCAGTGTCAGCCCAGCCAGGATGTGGGCCTGAGGCTCTGGGGCCCTGGCCTTCACGCTCACGCTCACGGTGGTGGTTCAAGTCTCTTCTGTGCCTGAACCAACTCTCAGAACTCCTTCCGCCCTAAGCAGCAACCTGCTGCGCCCTCCCCCTCTTCTCTGCCCTGAGGTCGTTAGGGGCGAAGGCCTCTGCAGCTGTTCCTTCCCTTTGGATCCCACCCTGCCTGTCCCCTCAGAACTCAGGATCTGCTTGCCCCCAGGGTGAGAGTCTGGAAGGTGCCTGGGGCTGGCCATCTCAGGGCCCACAGGGCCTGGCTGATGACGTGAATCGGCAAATGTTTGTCAATACGAAGAGACTTTGATCATTTGTGGCCTCCAAATCCTATTCCTGGAATGGAGAACAGCAGCCTATACATCTGGGTGTATCTGGGTTTACCCAAGCCACCTGTGACTCCCACACCCCACATTTCTTCACTAAAAGCCCTGTGCCCCCGACTGCACCCCTCCATTCCGTCCTGTGCCAGGGGCTCTGCTGGGTGCCAGGGCCGAGGTCCTCGGGCAGAAAGATGGCATCATTACTAAAAGCCCTTTGCCCCCGGACTGCGCCCCTCCATTCCGTCCTGTGCCAAGGGCTCTGCTGGGTGCCAGGGCCGAGGTCCTCGGGCAGAAAGATGGCATCATTACGAAAAGCATGTTGAGCTCCACGAGGCCGCCCGGGTGCTCTGAGGGCCTGGCTTGGGAGGACGACGTGCTTCGCCTCCTGGAAGAAGCCACAGTGAAGCTGAAGGGAGGGCAAGAAGGTGGGTGAGGAACACGCTGACGGAGGGTAGACGGGCGGTGAGCAGCGTGAGGGGCCTGGGTGGGGAGGGGGCCTCATGGGCAGTCGGACGACACAGGAGGAGCAGGTTGGGGGCGGGGTGTGTGTGTTTGGACTCAGGTGTGGTGCCTGAGACATCCTGATGGCATATTCAGGGCAGGGGTTACAGGAGGCTCAGAAAAGGAGGATGTTGGAGACAAAGGTCTGGCCAACGGCACAGTAAGTAGCATGGAGAGGATAGCATTACCTGGGGAGAGTGGCCCGGAGAAGATGAGGCGTGCAGGCCTGACTCACCATCCTTCCAGGCGAGGTGGCAGAGAGGCGCCCTGGGAGGAAAGGCACCGAGGGAAGGCGTGTTCTGTAAAGGATGATCAGCTGGGCCAAGTGCTCACTGTGTGTGTTCCCCAGCAAGTGTGGCTCCTGGGAGGCAGCTGGAGCTGGAGCTGAGCGCCAAGTGCCCTGTTGTTCCGGGTCCTGCTCCAG